ACAAAGGCTTCATGCTGGGTGCAATCGTCAGGCCTGACGATTGCGTCCAGTATGAAACAGCCTGTCACCTCTGAGTGTTGACTTCAATATTCACTTTTATATATATATATATATATATATATATATATGCATATATGTATATATATATATATATGTATATATATATTATTTACATTATTCGGATTGTCCTCATCTTTGTCGCCATATTTATCACAACGTTCCGGCCGTTGTACGCTCCGGCCTTTAGAAAAAATAACTCCTGGAATAAAAAATAAAATTTAGTGAGAGTGTATGTATGAGAGTGTGGAACGAATTTTATTTTTTTTTTATTTTATTTCCGGTGTTATTTTTTCTGATTTCTTTTTGAATTTGTATGTCTGATGAATTGGATCGTATTTACGATTCCAATGGAATAAATTATGACCATGGAATATTAGTGTTTAAGCCTTTTTATTATATCTTTACTCTGTCCTGGACATTGAGTTCTACCTGGATTCTATCCTCTTGGAATTTATTTTACACACACACACACACACACACACACACACACACATATATATATATATATATATATATATATCTGTATATATGTTTGTATATATATTTGTGTGTTTCAGATATATGTACATATATATATGTGTATATTAACCACTAATATTATATTATATATATATATATATATATATAAATATATATATATATATATATCTTTACGTAACTCTACCGTATACACAAGTACATGCATATAAATGTGCGTATGTGTGTATGTGTGAGAAAGAAAGAAAGAAAGAAAGAAAGAAAGAAAGAAAGAAAGAAAAAGAGAAAGAAAGAGAGTACGAACGAAAGATTAGGTGTGGATAAAAGGAATACGTGTTCAAAGAATGTCACCCTAGTGCTGGGTCAGGTTGACCTCTCCTTTCCGTTTTTATCTTCCCCCGTTTACCAGATTTCTTTCTATCCCTGCCGACGCCATCTCACCTCCGCCCTCCCATATCCGATCCCTTTTTTTTTTTAAATTCTACCCACTTATCCCATTCCCCCCTTTTCTAACCCCCCTTTCTGTTCTGACCCTTTCTCTTTTCCCTGATTATATTTCTCCCACTGTTCATCCTCCCTACGCTCTACCACCACCACTAACTACTTCTTCGTGTTTGACTTTCCTTTCACTCCTCTCACTGTCACCCTATCCCCTCTCCTTCAATTTACCCCTTCCTTCTAATTTAGTTGGGAGCCTTCTTCTTTTCACTCTAGGATACCGATCGACTATATTGCTTGATTTTTTAAACATCAACGTCCTTAAATATCATTTTTCATTTTATTTTAATAAAATACCTTTTCTCCTTACCGTTTTTTTTTAATGAATTTGATGACACATTAAATAATTTCAGGTAGAAATAAAAAAAAAAAATGCAAAAATTGGAGCTAGATTCAACCCCAGGTAGCATTTCGGCTTGGTCTGTCTTTGCCCACATACTATACCGCTACTCCATCGTGCTCTGTTGAGGTTTCCTTATTTTCGACGCTAAAAGATGAAGACTTCCTTGCATTCGGAAAACATCAGCAATGAAATACAAAGTTATGAAATTCTTGATTTAGAAAATCTCTGAGTAAATTCCAACTCTCAGCCTCTACGGAACTTACGGCCATATCGCGTTGAAAAATCGGTCTCCTTACGATCGCCGAAGTTAAGCAACATCGAGCCTGGTCAGTACCTGGATAGGTGACCGCTTGGGAACAGCTGTAAACTTGGATGTACGGGCAGTATCATTGTGAAACGCTGGTTCCCGTAGTATTACCGAAATTAAACGTCGTCGAGGATATGTACCTATGTTTTATATGTTATATATCATGACGGTCGTCTTCGAGTATAGAATCCAGAGGTTAGCAGTGAATATTTCGAAGACAGTAGGAAAGCGTTGTTCAGATTAGCAGTGGATATCGCAGCAAAGTAGCAGAACGTAGTACTTCCTTCCATTCATCTTCGCCTGACAAGTTGGTACTGGTCATTCGGGTAGTGTAAAAAAAAATGGCCGCCTTTATACACGACAGGTTGAATGTTCCACATCTTTTGATTGGTTAACTTTCTATTGGTAGACTATAAAGCGAGTCAAGGCATTTGGACTAACTCACTAGTTACATGATATACACAAAAAAACTGCAACATTATATATTACGCAAATTCGATTAAGTACACCACAAAGATCTGCTCACCAGCCTTGATATATTTAGGAAGGATATTAGAATAATCAAAGACCTATACTGTTAGTAAACTATCTACATATTGATAGAAAATGAGCTCAATAGATATATAAAAGTAGAAAGGGGTGTAAGACAAGGTAGTGTCTTCTCACCGGACTTATTCAACCTATACAGCGAAGTGATTCTGAGAGAACTAGAAGTCTTGCCAAGATTCATTATTGGCGGTCACAATCTTAATTTTTGCAGCATACCTACGGACGATAATGGGTATGTCCCCATTCACATAAACACAATAGTAAAGTCTGTATGTTGGTCTACATTTGGAGATTCGTCTCCAGCTGTGCTGGACAAATTCTTTGCCACAGTTTAGAGAAGGTCCACAGACGAAGCGTTGTTCTCGGGAAACAGCTGCCCGATCCCATTTTATACAGGGTCTACGAGGAAATTTTGGCCGAGCATACGTGCTCGGATACTCCAGATTAATTTCCGCCTTGTGCCACATCTGACTTGCGTGGAGCGGTTGGTAGATATCCTGCAGTTGGAGATTCGTCTCCAGCTGTGCTGGTCAAACTCTCTGCCAGGAGGCAGAGAGGATGCCCTGACAAGGCTATGTCGAAGTGCAATCTCGTCTCGGTAAACAGCTACCTGACTCCGTGTTATACGACTTTACGGGGAATTTTTGGCCAAGCCTACGGGCTCGGATACCTACATTAAATTCGGCATTGTGCCATATCTGACCGCGTGGGTCAGTTGGTTAATATCCTGCACTTGGAGATTCATCTGCGAGTAGAAAGGATCTCCAGACGAGGCAATGTCGAAGAGCAGAATTTCGTCCCGGGAAACAGCTACCTGACCCCGTTTTATACGGAGTCTACGGGGAATTTTTGGCAGAGCCTACGGGCTCGGATACCCCACATTAAATTCGGTCTTGTGCCACATCTGAACGCGTGGGGCGGTTGGTAGATGTAGTTGGAGATTCATTGTGGAATTCATTTGACTCACTTCTAGCAGTTGCCTGCTTATTCTACGTGCCGTTGGCGAATCTTATATGAGTTGTTCTTGTCTTAAATATTATCATTTACTAGCAGCATGACCCGGCGTTGCCCGTGCTTGATTAAAAAATCGTACGACTCATACAGCAATCGCTATCACTTGACTTTAAATATTTTGCCCTTCCTTGTTTTTTAAAGGAGTGCCCTTTGCCGTGCTGATGTTGCTACATGGTTTTACTTCTTGCCTATCTCACACTGCGATTTTTTTTCGAAGCTCTATACTAAACATTAAATCTGTTAGGAAAAAAGAACTAAACAAAATGAACACAAAACGATCAGCTTTAAAAAAGGACTCGTAACTGGAAAAAACAAATGAAAAAAGAATGTTAACAACAAATACTTTTTCACATCCAACCCAGTTCTGCGGAATCAGAATCAACGTTGAGATTAAGCAATCGAATGAGCCAATTGGAGTAAAGTGCCATGCTGGTTTAAATGTTTCCCACTTGTGACGAATGCAGCTATCGATTTTTTTTTGCATGCTAGCATGCTAGTTAACATTCGTGTCAGTCAGCTGTTAGCTCTCACGCTGGCCAATAGAATCTTCCTGCCTATTCGTAGGCTCTGATTCTGGCCAGGAGAAAATGGCCGCAAACTACATGAAAACTTCCGTAGAAACATGAAAAAATCGATTATTTCCATTATCGATGGGAGTTAGGAAATGCAAAGTCGGTTTTGGCCTTCCTGCTAACTTGGAGCATGTGCATGTAAATTTCGGTGCAAATCCGTCGAAATTTGCGGCCGTGCATTCGTTACACACACACACACACGCACACACATCATGCCTTTTATATACCAACTTTCGTGTGATTATTCTATTCAGTAAAGATCCCTAGGTTACAACAATAAGCTATAATGATGAGGCAGTGTTGATAGCAGACCGAGAAAAAAGACTTCTAAAATATCTAGCATCAAAAGAAAAAAGATAGAATTATTGGCTGTTACCAAAAAAGATGATCCCAAAGTGCGAAATGCAAATCGGAGATACCAAAACAAATGTGGAAATTTAAATATCTGGGAATTGTTTTAACAAAGCATGGAAACAGTGACACGGCAATCCGAAGTCGTATTGGGGTGGCTAAAGATGCATCCCAAAAGCTAAGCAGAGTATTAAGAAATAGGAAATCTTCACTAGAAACTAGGAAAGTCGTACTAAACTGTTACGTGATAATTGTCCTCCTTGTATGATAGGAAATGCAGGACAGTCTCCTCAAAATTGCCGAATTACACTGAGGTCTACTGCATAAAAATTATATAAAAACCTAGACTACATGTGATTCGTAAAGTCAATGGCGGTTCAGGTTATAAAACATATAAAGTTGATTTCAACATACCATTGAAATGAAAGTTAATTTTATTAAGATTCAGTTAAATATTTCAATTCGTTCGTGTCATCATTGGTCTGGTTTACGAGTTTATGTTTAACGTTTTACTGATTGTTTACAGCATTTAATAAGAAAAGAGCTTCCGGGATAAACTTAAACTCCAGTAACAGGGTTTATTTACGGCATTTTTGAACACTTACCTACTGCAGTAAAAAATCTGCCTCGTCAGCCATGTATCGAAAGGTACATGATCGCCTAAGCGTGTATCATGCATGGCACATAAGTTATGTATTATTGATGAATCGGAGAGTCGAGTTCGAATTCCAGTCGAATCCATTACGTTCACTTACGTGCTAATACCCTTGAGAAATCCTCATCTTCTTATCACCCCAGTTATGGGTAAATAACAAGACAGACCGACTTCTATAGCCTTGGATGGCAACTAGTCAACCGCAGAAAAAATGGCAACCTACTGCGGGAAAAAAAATTCTGCATCGTCAGTCATGTATCGAAATGTACATGATCGCCTAAGCGTGTATCACGCATGGCACATGGCTGAATGGCATTATTGGTCTGGTTTACAAGTTCATTTTATTGATTGTTTACAGCATTTAATAGGAATCGAACTTCCAGGTTGACTTATTCTTTAAATCAGATTAATTTAAATATATTTTTAATATGCCAAAAAATATTTTAAAATCAAATTCACTTGAATATATTTTTTAAATATTCAAAAAAAAAAAAAAAAAAAGCTGAAATATAAATAATTACTCCACAAACAACTGGACGAAACAGCAAAGTGGGATCTCTTTGTGACTGTCTTAATATTTAATGTTCTATAGATAATATAAATATGTCTTCCATAGTAATGCACTGAAGGGCACCTAGACGTGGTATAGCAAGCTTGTCTTGCTAGATCAATTACTAGTGAGTTCCATCCTCACGGGGTGGGTGCTCCATACTTTCGGTCTTGTGCTACATATAAGCTATGCAGTGTAATTCGCTATACTAATTCCCTGAAAAAATATTATCAGCGTTACTAACTGAAAATAGTTTCTTTCAAAGGTTCACCAATAGTGCACCGGATCCAAATCCAGCGGCTTCTCACGCCTGTCCAAGTAATGTAAATAATGCAAATAATCATAATACCTCTTCTCGGAGATCCAATCACTTCAAGAAGGCCGGAGCATACAACGGCCGAAATGTTGTGAATATGGCAATGAAGATGAGGATAACAGTTCGAGTAATGTAAATAATGCAAATAATCATAATACCTCCTCTCAGAGATCCAATCACTTGAAGAAGACCGGAGCGTACAACGGCCGAGACGTTGTGAATATGGCAATGAAGATGAGGATAACAGTCCGAGTAATGTAAATAATGCAAGTAATCATAATACCTCTTCTCAGAGATCCAATCACTTGAAGAAGGCCGGAGCGTACAACGGCCGAAACGTTGTGAATATGGCAATGAAGATGAGGATAACAGAGATATAGACATAGATATAATAAATGAATTATTTTTTCTTTAATGCCAGGGGCTACAGACTCAGAAGATAGGGGGAGAACAATGCGGAATGAGAAATCAAAGTGAGCGGTTCGAATTCCAGTCTGGTTCATGACATTCGCGATCACGAATCCCGTGACATATGCACTGCAGCCGCAGCAGAAGTGGTATTTCTTGGGCAAGATAGCCTGATGGAGCCCAGTTCAGGACGGTTTGAATTCAGAGTTTTCCTTCTCCTAAACGGGTTGCCACCCATGTCTATAGAGCCCAGTCTGCCAAACTATTTACCCATAGTTGGTGTTGTGGAAGAAGTGGATTCAGACTTTTCCCAGCACGTATGTGAATGTAATGGATCCGACTGAAATTCCAACTTGGCTCTCCGAATTCTCAATCTGAGCATCTATTCATTACTCCACCGTGTCTCTCATTCACTTACGCGCAAAATACCCTTGGGTAAGTGGTATGGATTTATCGCTTCTCTCCTCTCCACAGGCCATATGCAATATTCTAAGAGTAGACGAAGGGTAGATATGTAAATATGTAAGATCGATTCCGGGTAGAAAGAAATGTCTAACACGACACAGAGAACCAACTTCTCTAGCAGCAGACCTAGGAATTGATTCGATATAATCTTACCAATTCATGTCAGCGGAAAACT